CCTCGCCTGGATGACCTGAGTCGAAAGACCTTAGATCTTTTGAGCCTTGCCAGTGGGTAGAGTTTTGTTATCCGAGTGTCTATTAACACTCCTAAATGTTCAAGATGCTGGGAGGGCATCAGAGAGCTCTTTTGTTTGACCAGGACGCCGAAGTCTTGCAAGCATTGAATGGTCATCTGCGTGTCCTTCTGTTCCCATAAGCACACCACAGGATGGATAAGGACCTTCGTAAACACCCTCGGAGCCGAGGATAGGCCAAAGGGTAGTGCCCAGAACTGTACTCCCCAGGCAGGAGAGATTCTGCGATGGACCTCAAGGATTCCATGCGAAAGTGCTTGAGATCCATATACCTGTTCAGGTATTTTAGATCTAGGATCGCTCTCCAGTCCCCGTTCTTCTTGGAGACCATAAAAAAGATGGAGTAGACTCCGGTCTGGCGTTCTTCTGGAGGAATGCTTTCTATCACCTGAATGTGTAACAAGTGATCTATCGCAGACATGGTTCTGGCCTTCTTTATTGGATTTCTGTGAACTGGGGAAACAACAAAATGCTGAGGAGGGATTGATAGAAACTCTATTTTGCAACCCTCTGTAACTATGTCCTTTGTCCATGCATCTGGACGGGAGGCAAGCCATTCCTGTCTGTAGAGAAGGAGACATTCCCCCACAGGAGGCCCTGGACAGTCATGCCTTGGGGGTTTTGGCGTCCCGGGTCCCCCCGGTCTTGCCTGTTTCCAGGCTGTCTGGGATATCTGTTGTTGCTGTAGCCTCTGCGGCGAAAAGGCTGCTTGTTGCCCCCCCAGGAAGGCCTTCTATTTTCTTGCCTAAACCTGGAGGAAGAACTGTAGGGTCGAAAGGAAGATGAGAAACTCATAGTCCTCCTGTCTCCAGGTCGCACTGAGTTGGGAAGGGCTTTTTTCTTATCACAAGTTTCCACTAGGATTTTGTCTAGTGAATCGCCAAACAATTTGTCCCCTTGGAAGGGGTAGGCTGAAACTATGGACTTGGACTGATAGTCCACTGGCCAAGCCCTCAACCAGACTACGCATCAGGCTACAGCTGCTGAAGCTATTGCTCTGGATGACATGACCATGGTGTCTAATGTGGCATCAGCAGTATAGGAAGTGGCCTTGATCACCCATTGGCCCCTTCCAGTAACCTGGGATTATTCTCAGGAAGCATCTGAGTTAACCTGCACATCCATACGATGTTTGCTCTAGAGACTGTGGATACTGCAGAAGAAGCCCTAATAGCCATAACATTGGACTCATGAGCTTTTCTTAGGAAGAATTCAGTTATTTTATCTAAATTGTTTTTCAGAGTACCATACCCGTCTTCTGAAAGGAGACCAGAAGATTGTAGTGCAACCACAGGAGCGTCAACTGCAGGGACCTGGAAAAGAGCTGAGGCAGAAGATATTAAGGGGTACAGTTTTTTAGTGGCCCCAGGGATGGGCTTGCTCGTTAAAGGTTTCTCCCACTCCGCCTTAACTTTCCTTATGTAAAAATCTGGAAAGGGAAAGGCTGATTATGCATAATCCTCAGATGGAAAGAACTCATCGGTGATCTCTGAACCATCATCTGGTTCCTGTTGTCTGAGGGATTTATTCCCAGATCTCTGCAAGGCTTGAATTTTAAGTGCTGACAGAGTTTTTTCCAACAAATAAGGGAAATCTTCAGGCTTAAAAAATCGGAAGGAGTGCTCTTTAAGAGCATGTCCTTTAGGGTTACCCTCCCTCTCATCCTCTGGGTTTGAGGAAAACTCTCCCTCCTCTTTCTCACTGCATGGAAGAGAGACATCATCGTCCTCATCAATGAGGGTATCAGGCATGTACTGCTCTTTAGGAAACTCTTTTTGAGCAGCCTTAGCTGGCCAGCTTCCCACTTTTCTCTGTTTGTCAGGAGGGGGTGGGAAGGGGGAAGAGGAGGGCGATCTGGAGCGGCATGGGTTGCGACCCCCCGACCCGTAAAAATGGGCTATTTCCTCCCTCATTGCCTGTTGGAAGAAGGCCATCGCTCTGGGAGAAATCAGGGGAGGGGCATCATCATCTACGTTACCAGTCTGCAGGGGGTCCCTCTGTGTCGGATTCCTGGGCAAAGCTGGCTTGAATATGCCTGATCTGTTCCTCTCTGCTTTGACCGGAGGTCTTGGGGGGCTCAAGGTGCAGGTTGGGGCACTGCAGGCCATTCCTGTCTTTATGAGCAGAGCAGCGATTTTTCTCCAAGATGGCCACCGGCGGCCGTGCAGGTTCCGTTTGAGCGCATGAGGATGTTTTGGCGTGCTTTGAAGCGTCGCCACCTTTTCGCGGCTTGGAGTGCTCTCCCAGCTCTTCCGCGGCTCTTTTTCTGGCGATGTGGTCTTTTTATTTTTTATTTATCATTCGACTTCTATACCGCTCTGACCCCCCGAGGGGTCTCTGGGCGGTTTACAATTATTTATAGTTACCTACCTTGGGCCACAGAGTTGAGGGGGATGACATCCCTATCGACACCCAGGCAGCAAGGCTCCGATGTTGTAGGGGTTTTTTGCGGCATCTCTTTGGTTCCCGGCGTTCTGCTGGCCCCTGGAGCGGATCTTCCTCTGATGATGTTCCTCTGGTGGGCCCGCCTTTCCGGTCCACAGCCCCGCGGCAGTCACAGCTTCCGACTCCGTCCTTTTTGCAGGCTCCGCCGCGCCGCCACATTGCCACGCCTTCCAGACTCCGCCTTCGCCCAGGCTCCACCATTCAGTGTTAGGCTCACAGGATTCGCCAGGTCGCTGTTGCCATTGTTGTTGCCGCCGTCGCTCGTGGTCACCGCCAACGATGCCGCTGCTCTTGCTGCACACCCCCGCCAAGGGGGAGGGTGCCTCCTGCCACCTAGGGGCAGGTACCCAATTTATCTACTTGCATTATGCTTTCGAGCCGCTGGGTGGGCGGGAGCTGGGACTAGGGCCGGGAGCTCACTCCGGCCATGGTGGGTCTCGAACAGCCATAGTGGCTGTTCAAAGTTGTTACAGCAGGCCGCCATCTGCTGGCAGAACTGCAAAAAATAAATCTTAAACTTGACTCCATGGAAAATGCCTTTGGATTACAGCAGAAAAAGATGACAGAAACAGCTGAAAAGGTAGATGATATTGCCAAGAAATGCCTGGTATCAGCAGAAGATGTGCAGATAGTTAAGAAAAAGGTCTTTAAAATTGAAAAGCATCAAGAAAAGCAAGAAAATAAATTGTTAAGGAGATGGATCTGGCCTATCGGGCCTACTCCAACTTTACGAGAAAAAACAAGTTGCCAAGCTGAAGTGGTCGTAAAATTTACCAAACAACGTCTCAGGGATCAAATTTTGAGGATTACATCTGCGTCACCCCTGAAAATCGGAGACCAACCAATCAGAATTTTGAAAGATGTTCCATTTGAAATCAGAATGAAAAGAAAGGAATATAAGGGATTGACCATTTTCTTACAAAAACACCAAACAGGATATAAATGGCTGATACCCGAAGGGCTGACGTTCAAGTTCAAAGACAAAAGAGAAAAAATTGACTCTATCTTTAAGGCTCAAGAATTCTTGAAAAGGCATGCCAGCAAAGAAGAGGGAGCAGAACTAGCCAAGTGGATGTCAACATTAAGCGTGGACGACAGCAGCTCAGAGGGAGAGGTGAAAGACGATGAAGATGAAGGAGCGATTGGACCAAAATATAATTTGAGAGACAAAAAAGGAAAGGACCCCAAAGTTTAAAAAACTTTGATTTTATTTTTCGGACTATACTTGGAAAAAATCCACATCAGAAGGACATTACTAACAAATTAAACACTTTGTTTAATATTGACTAACAGAAGGACGACCGAAGATGGACACTATGGACTTAGAGCTTTGAGTACTAACAGATTAACTTACTAATATAAATAACACCACTCATTCTTTTCTTTATCCCGCTATATACCCACCCTATTTCTTGAACTTAAAAGAAATATCTCTCCTTTTTAGGAGAGGGAATAAAGCTTATTCAAAAAAAAAAGTTGTTACAGCAGGCATTGTACTGCCTGCGCCACCCCTCCCGCCGTCTTGTCGATCCTCTGCGGGCCCGCCGGCATCCATCTCCTGAATGGACAGGAAATCTTCTTCTCTGGCTTGAGTAGCCACTTTAAAAAATTTTGGCTGAGCCGTCCAGATAAATTGGTCCCTGTGGGATCGATTTCCCACGGACCGAGGTAGAAGAGAGAGAGAGAGGTTTGTTTGTTTTTTTATAGAGGTAAGAGAGAGAAGAAGGAGTATTAGAAGAGAAAATTATTTCAGATAGTTGTAGCAAGGTTGGTGTTAGGCAGATCCAACACCTAGCTGCTCTCCCTACTGAGGCCGGAAAAGAACTGAGCCAAGCGTGACTCCCACCAAAGGAAACAGGAAGAAGTTGAACTTAGTCCTGCCTCCCTGATGATGGATGGGAATCACCCACAAGATGGCCTCCACCTCAGAGGGAGAACTGGCTGTCTTCTGCTTCTTGTTCCAGTTCTGCTGCTGTTGCGTCATTGTAGGTTTGCAGCTTACAGATACACACCTGAACAGCATACTCAAGATTGCAACAGCACAGACATTTTGATGTAATAGTTCAGAGCAAGAGGTGTCAGTTATCAGACGCTGTTAAATAAACAAAATATTGCAAGAGTGCTAATGTTTTAAGCATGTTTTTATTTTAAGTTAAAAAAAACCTTTGTGTTTGTGTCCTTTATAAAGTTTATCTCTCCGCTACCTGGCATTACATTTTATGACACACATGGCCCGGCCCAACAAAGTCTCATTTATGTGAGATCCGGCCCTCATAACAAACGAGTTCGACACCCCTGCCCTAGTCAATAGAGACATTATATATTTCAGAAAGTGTGTGCTGAATGCCAGAGTAACATGGTACACCTTGTATATTTGTTAGAGTGGACAGTTCAAAAACAATCAGATCTCCCATCACGAAAAGATGCCTATGCCAACCCTCTTTGCTAAGCTGCAATGAATGTGATGCAATACCGACCTGGTCCCTAACTGTCAACAGGCTTTGTATCAGAGCCTCTGATTTTTGACATTGATCTCTTTCAGCATTCTCAGAATGTCTCCGCCAGTCCAACTCTATTTGCACTTTAGCTCTTTCCAGAGCCTCTTCTCTCTCTGATGCTAGTAAAAGCTGCTGTTTATACCTAAGACAGGGAGAAATGAGGTGTGTATTTTTAGCTTCTCAGTTAAAGTCAATAAATTCAATATAATGAATGTTTAATTGTGAGTTTTTTCTTTAATCTTTTACAACTGAGGTGTATAGTCTATAGGATAAAGAACTTCAGTCCAGCCGTGCTCTTTGTGTGGAATATTAACCACATTTGTAAAAAAAGGTATCATCACACATGTGCAGCTCAGAAAGAATCTTCCACCAAAAGAGTCTGTTTGTTGCATTGCTTCAAATAGCACTGAAATTATTTTGAAAATACACTATTTACTACATTTTTATCCTACCTTTCTGCACAAACAGAGCCACACAAGGATGGTTGTTAATGGTTTGTATGACTTCAAATAATTTGGTGGTTTATTATTTTAGGTATTTTGTCAGAGATGTAGACATTTACAAAACAATGTAAAATTTTGCTTTAACAGAGAAGTGAACCAACAAAATATCAGACCAGAGCAGACACGTCCAACAGACAGAGACCTGGGGTAGAAAATCTTCCATTTCCAAAACTGTTATTTCATAAAATTAATAGCAGTGAACGGATGCCATTGCCAACACAATATTAGTAAAGTTTGACAGTTTCAGGTTTGTAATTAAGATATTTCAGGGGATTAGCCCTAGGAAAAATGAGAGAACATCTATTCCAGAGATCTATAAACCAGGGAATGGTTTATTATTTATATATTATTTATATATATATAAATAATAATCTAAACTTTAAAAAAATAAATATGTTATGAATTCATCTCAGCTATTACCATACCAACATGTCTCCTTCTTATATGATGGAGTGGATTTTGTAATCACCACTCTGATGAGGAACTAGCAAGTAATGCTAGAGAGAGTAACTGTGAAACTGAGGTACTTCCATACAGTGATGGTTCTCTCACTGCTGGAGCATTCCCATGGCAGTTTTCCCTGCACTTTCCTTGCCTTAGACTCCCCTCTGTGGTCACCATTCTCCCTTCTTACCACTCCCCTCTAACCCCATTTTTATGTAAGACAGGATATTGTGATATTGACAATGAAGACTGTCAATGGCAGAAGGGTCCTGATAAAATCAAGGTTTAGCTATCAGTCACTCAAAGCTATTTACCTTTCAGTACCTTGCAGTAAGCTAGTCACTTGTGCTCTCAATTTCATCTCTTCTTCTTGCAGTATTTGAATCCGAAGGTCTTTTGAAATGGTCTCCCTGAAGATCTGAGCTACTTGAGAATCCCAGCTTGATTGCAGTGCCTTTAGCTGTTGTTCAAGTCTATACAAAATAGTACACACCCTTGATAAAATTTGTGGGGTTTCCACTTTGAGTAAAACAAAAAACAAAAACTGATATGCAGAAGTTCAGTCTCATGCCCCTGAGGGGCATGCAAAGCATTTAGAAAACCAGAAACTTAAATGAATTGAAGCAATGACAGCAAAATATCAGAAATATACAATGGATCTGAGTAAACAAAACTTTAAGATAATGGGTTCCTGATGTAGGTGATAAAAAAGAAAAAGAGGAGCAAAATAGACTTCTTCAATCCACACTAGCCATATATTCTCCAGTATGCAACCACATATGCATTATTTTTAAGATGCAGTTTGCCAGATTTATAGGGACCACGGTGGCTCAGAGGTTAAGATGCTGAACTGCAGATCGGAAGGTCTGTAGTTCGGCAGTTTGAGACTCTACTGCTGTGTGACGGAGTAAGCTTCTGTCTCTGGCCCCAGCTCCTGCCAACCTAGCAGTTCGAAAGCAAGAAATTGCAAGTAGATAAATAGGTACCGCTTCGGTGGGAAAGTAACAGCATTCCGTGCACCTTGGCATTTAGTCATGTCGGCCACATGACCACGGAAACATCTTCGGACAGCGCGGGCTCTTTGGCTTGGAAACGGAGATGAGAACCGCCCCCTATAGTCGGATTTGACTGGATTTCGAACAAGGGAAACCTTTACCTTTTTACCTTGCCAAATTTAAGGAGATCCAATTATCTGTGCCTTGGGATTCCAGAAAACTGAAAAATCAAAAAAATAAATTAATGAAAGTATCAATCCAGTACTGATTCTCACCCAGGGACCTTTGATGTAAATTACAATTACTTATACAAGGCAAAGTCTCCATGTAGCTTTTGTTGCATTCATAGAGGCATTTGCAATGGAAATAGAGTATTCATACAGCAGTTTCCCCTGCACTTAGAATAAATTAACATTCCAAGTGAAGAACTCTAAAAGGACAAGCGAATAGGGCTATTTCTCCAACATTAACGGACGGCAAAGGAGAGATCAGTTCTGGCATTCACTTGTTCACATGAGTGGAGTAGAGGAGGAATCATACAAGTGCAGGGACTGGCTCTGGAAGTATCCATTATGGAGACTATATTTTCCCATTATACAGCTGATACCTTCCACCTGATCTGTCGTTTCCATTCAGCATATTCAGTATGCTCTTGGTTTAGGGAACAGGATATAGTTTCCCTTAAATCTATATATAGATGCACCATTCAGGAAGCTTTGCTTACAGCATGGCTTACAGAATCGACATAGGAGACCTGGGTTCTACTGGCAACTTCCAATGGTTTAGTGGGAGGATCTAGGACATGTTGCTCACTACCGCTATACATTTTTCACTATAAATAGAATAAAAACAACAATACACTCTAGCTTTAAAGAATATATGAAGTGGCAAACCAGATACTGGAGCATAGACCTCTACCTGTTTTAGGAACCAGGAACAGCGGTTTCAAACAGCATCCAATGAAGATTTAAGAGCAACAATTACTATGTTGTTTAGTAGTAGAAAAGAGTAAGAGTTCAGTAGCACCTTAAAGACTAACAAAAATTGTGGTAGGGTATGAGCTTTCATGAGTTACTGCTCGGTTCTTCAGATCTGAAGAACTGAGCAGTAACGCACAAAAGCTCATTTTTGTTGTTCAGTCGCACAGTCAAGTCCGACTCTTCGCACATCACGCCAGGCCCTCTTGTCTTCCGTTGTGCTCTGGAGTTTGCTTAATTTACAAAAGCTCACACCCTACCACAAATTTTGTTAGTCGTTAAAGTGCTACTGGACTCTTTTCTACTGCTACAGACTAACACAGCTACCCATCTTGATCTATGTTGTTTAGTACTTTATTTATATACCAGTTTTAATTGACAAAGTGATTCACATTCTTAATTATGCTTGTCCTTTCATGTACATCACACATGCCCAATCAACTGAGATAAAACTGCCATTGCTAGAGCAATCTTTTGTTATATTGTTATATTGAATTCATTTTTAAAACTCTTTTGAACTTTTCAGTATCTGGTGGCAATTAATTCCATGAAGTAAGTGCACTGCATGAAAAAGAGCTTAGACTTTTTTATAGCTGGTATAGGGTAATCTTATTTCTTATTCCCTACTCCTTATACTATACATGAAGGTAGATATAAGGTAATGCGAGAGCAACTGCTTTGCACATTGCACAGTTCCCCATTGTGCTCAAATCAGGTTCCTCTCACAGATGGAAATGGGAAGTAACTATGCAGGCTAATAGCCTGTGCTAATTATCTGGAGCAAATATTATGTGGTCCAAAAATTACTTGAGTTGTTCTGCCACAATACTGACGTTCTAGAACCTGAAACAGCTCAGTTTTAGAACTGAAACTACTTGGGTCAATCTTGTTAACAACTTTTTGCCAGAAGAACAGGGAGAATGTAACTCTGATTCTGCAATTTCTGCAGTTTTTGATACCATCAACCATGGCATTCTTCTGGAACAGATATCTGGAATGGGAGGTAGAAGCATCATGCTCCTACACTCCCACTCCTATTTGGAGTGTTGATTCCTAACGGAGATGGAGGGAAGACTTCTGCTTCACCCCCACAGCATTAATAACATGGACTGCTGCAGTGTTCCATTTTCTCTTCAACGTTATTTAATATCTACACGAACTATTGCATTTGGAGTGAGAAGTAACCAGCATGTTGATTATCCTCAGCTGCATTTCTTCTTTTCATCTACACCAGATGTGGTGGAGAATGCCCTGAATCAGTATGGGATGGATGAGAACTAATAAACCTGTAGCTTAATCCCAGAGAAGACGTATTGTTGGTAAACCCTAGAAACAATATTCAGCCTATTCTGGATGGGGAGTCACTCCCCTTTACAGAAAGTTTACAGTATGGAAGTGCTTTTAGATCCACTCTTATTCATGATAGCAAGTGACATCTGAGGTTCAAAGTGCCCTTTTTACCAAGTTAAGTTGGTAACACTAAACGGACATATCTTGGAAAAATGCAATCTTGCAACAGTTATCTATGCCTTAGTAACATCCAGGTTGGATTCATGCATTGTGTTGTCTTGCTCTGTAAGTCTTCGCGGGGCTTCCTCGCCAGGGCTCGGATTGGGGCCCCGGGGGCGGAGTGGGCACATGGCGAAGCCCCGCCCCCTTCTTACGGCCACCCCCTGCTTCCAGCCTCATTCTGTTGCAGAAGGAGGAAGAAGCAGGAGGGTAAATTGGCATCTCCCCCTCTGCCTGGCCGAGGCCACTCCACGTGGCCTCCGCTAGGACTCCCAGCCCCATCCAGGAGCTTCCCTGAGGTAGCTGTGTTAGTCTGTTGCTGCAAAATAGTCCAAGAGTTCAAATAGCACCTTTAAGACTAACAAATAGCACCTTTAAGACTAACCTTTAAGACTAAGACTGAGTGGTGGGTGTGGCCTTATGACACACTTCTGGTGATGGTAGGGGGTGTGGCCTTATGACACACTTCCGGTGATGGCAGGGGGTGTGGCCTTATGCAGTGCCGGATTTATGCATAAGCTAAATAAGCTACAGCTTAGGGCCTCGCAATCTGCTGGGGCCTCAAATAAAAACACAATATAAAAAATGATTTCAAATATTAAAAAGGCGTATATATTTTAAATTTTTCTGAGACCAGCTGATGTAATTTAAAACAGTAGGGGGCCTCTGGCTTTTGTATAGCTTAGGGCCTCAACAAGTCTAAATCCGGCCCTGGCCTTATGACACACTTCCAGTGATGGCAGGGGGTGTGGCATATGCTAATGAGTTCCCCTAGCTCTTTTTCTACAAAACGACCCCTGCTGGTAAAGCATGATTTTTTAAAAAAAAAGTAAAGCATTTTCTACCACATCAGTTTGCCTGTGTGTGCTGCATATATTCTTCATTTTAAGTGCCTAAGGTACAGATGCTACTAAAAATTATTTTTACTTATTCATTAATTAGCAGTTGCCACAAATTCTTCGGAGCTGCGCTGGCTCAAGTGGTTAAGACGCTGAACTTCAGGCTGTGGGAGGTCGGTAGTTCAGCAGTTCGAGACCCAGGGTGCCACATGACGGAGTGAGCTCCCGTCTCTAGTTCCAGCTCCTGCCAACCTAGCAGTTCGAAAGCAAGAAATTGCAAGTAGATAAATAGGTACCACTTCGGTGGGAAGGTAACAGCGTTCCGTGCGCCTCGGTGTTTAGTCATGCCGGCCACATGACCACAGAAACGTCTTTGGACAGCGCTGGCTCTTTGGCTTTGAAACGGAGATGAGCACCGCAACCCTAGAGTCGGACTTGACTGGCTTTTGAGCAAGGGAAACCTTTATCTTTTACAAATTCTTCAGTATACTTTTTGCCTGCTATACCTGGGCTTCTTCAATTCAACTTCTTTTCAAGGAATTTCAGCAGACTGTATATTGTATTGCTGCCTTTTCAATGCCTGGTAGAAAATATGGCCCAGCCCACCCATCCATGCACTTCCCATGTGTGACCAGAAAGAACCTGTGTGCATATGGAAGGTAATATTTATTTCTGCCCCCACTGGGTGCCACACCAACATGGGGGGCTACTGATGAACAGGGGAGCTGAGAAGTCCACTATAGAAAGCATGAGGATGCATGTAGGGGTTTGGGTGCACACCCTAAGTTTAAATTCACTGCCCAGCAATCTACACAACTAACTCTGGAACCATTTTTCATTTTCAAAGGAACTGTGACATGTTATTGTCTGGTGCACTGACTGATTTTTGATAAGAGTTTAGTTACAGTTAGTACCTTTACAACGCCAGACAAACTTGGTTAGATTTCGTCTAGTCTTTTCAAGTTATTGCTAGTAAAGTTGCTGAACATACCATACTGGCTTGGATCCCCTGAAGCATTTCCATAAACAGATGGATTTCTGCCAACGTTTTGCCTCCCCTGTCTCACTGCTGCCTGAAATGCCTCCACTAAATGCTTCCTCTGGGTAGAGATGTGAAGACCCGGAAAAAAACCCAGAAAAATTCAGAAAAAAACAATTTTTTCCCTGAAGCCTTTTTTGTTTTTTTCCGAAAAATTGGAAAAATTGAAAAAAGAAAAGAAATTGATTATGGAACATTTTATTTTAACATGCTGAATAAAATATTTTAAGACAAGGTGTTCAAATATTTTCCAAATCATTTCTAAAAAATATGTATGGTATCAGATTGATCTAAGTTCTGTGCAATGAGGACAAGCAAGTCCTCGGTTACAAACTGAACTCTCCAATGCAAGAACAAGATGCATTTCTTCCTTTAGGAGGTGCTATTGTCACAAGAAAAGAAAAAGGTTTCAGTTTTGTTTTTGCATGTGGGTGGGTATTCTGTTTGTAATAATTGTTTGGATACACTATATTTTTAATATGCTAGTTGTGATAATTTCATGCCAAGTAAAAACGTCCATAGCCATATTTTATGTTCCTAAAGTAACAGAATGACTTTCAATCTGGAAAAGAAAAAATAAGTGCTAATGTAGCATTTTTTTCAATTTTTCCAAAAATTTCCATTCCCCCCCCGGAAAAAAACGGGGTTTTTTCCGAGCTTCAAAATTTCCAGAAATTTTACATCTCTACCTCTGAGGGATTTTGGACATCAAAGAACAGCATTTGCAAATGTAATTTCAAACTACACAATAAGAGGGTTAGAAGTAAGAAAGTCACACTTCAGAAATGGAAACTGTTCTAAACACTGGTGGTTTAGGCTCACAATTTGCTTTCTAATTTTTAAAAGAATCATGTTTGTGTGATTAACACCATGATCCTATTTACTTGGAGGTATAATTTATTTTAAAAACAAATATACTGCCTTTCCAAATATACTGTCATAGGTCATTTACAGTTATTCTGGTCTAAGATCACCAAGATTAACGGGCAGACTTGAGTAACTACAGAGGACTGCATTATTAGTATGGGCTGCTCAAGCCACACCAAAGAGAAAGCTGGTTTTGGCATCCACACAAGGAAGAATTCATATGAACACCTCTTTGCATGACAAGCAGATTGGACTCCAATGAAATTAATGTAGATTCCTATAAACTGACCTCCAGAAATAAATGTACATTCCTGTATTCAAAGGAATTCTCCTTTGTGTGCACAAAGAACTGTACACTAGGGCAAATATGTTTAGGTTTGAGGTACAGAACACGTAACTCTTCCTAGTTGCATTTATAGAGGGACATCAATCAAACTAATATATAAATGAAGAACAAGGGTACAATTTGTATCTGTTTTAATTAATAGGACAGGAACAATATCCAAGTCTCCAAGTATAATTCTAAAATATATAACCAGCAAAAGGCTAAATTACAGATTGACTAATACATCTAAATTTACATTTGACCTTTGTTTAGCATATGGGAGAGGCTTTTCCCTTGAGATAAGACAGTACAGCCCTATATCACTCAGTAGTGAACAGCTACAATGTTCTTATGTGGCATTTCTGAACAGAGAAACAGGGCTGTTCAACTGAAAAGCAATATATACTACTTTTAGGAAGTGTATTCCTAATAGAAAACTTGTACTATACTAACTACTTTGAATTGTTAGCAACTTGACCCAGAATCCTGAAGAGGCACTGTAACTGCACATGATATACATTTTCAGTTAATCCCTCTTCATTAAAGGCCACAAGCTCAGGCTATTCTCAGAACTTAAAAGCTGACAAGTGTCCTCAAGTTTAAAGCCCAAGATATATCAAAGAAGTCAGTTCAGAAGTCTCATGCAGTCATGCTCCATTATAATAGCACGTTAGGGCTGTCATTAATGAGCCGTGTCTCAATGTTAGCTGGAAATGATTTGGTACTGATACTGTGCATCAAAGGCCAAAAGACGCTCCTATGCTAATGCAGAACTGTGTGAGTTTTTCAATGGCTCATGAGATGCTCTCTCTAAACTGTAGAGGCTTGTGAGCAAAAATTCCACTTCATGAGCTACTGGCATTAAAGTTGTGAGCGAGCGATTTGGCTACTGCATAAATTAGTTTGCTTTGGAGCCATCCTTCCTGAGCTAAGACAAAAATGTGTGCGCTGGAGGCTAAAAAACTGTGAGCTAGCTCACACTAACTCAGCTTAGAGGGAGCACTGCTCATGACACCAGGAATATCTGCACTGTGCCATCTCTTTCATTTTTCTGTATACATTAAAACTGAATGCTTAAAAATGTACATATTAGAAACTAATAATAAACATCAGTCAAAAAGATACATATTCCCAGGTCTTCCTTTTGTTTGTTGTTCCCCCCCTGATTTGTTACTATGAATTGCTTTCCTGAGCATTTTTCCTGAGTGACAATGTAAAGGCCTTTGTAACTGCATAGAATGATGGGCTGACTGGTGCCATAAAAAGAGTTTCTTATTGGTGTCCTTTTCCATGCTCTGTGAGGCGCCCAGCTCCATGGTTTACCAGAAAACTGGGCAACATAAAGCAGACTAGAAGACAACTAGAGCGATGCTGGCAGAAGACTCGTGATGAATCAGACACAGGACGTCATAAAGCAAGCCTATGAGGTGATAGCAGCGAAGAAGACTTTCTTCTCTGTCACTATTGATCAGCAGAATCTTATCCAGCTCAATTGTTTAAAGTGGTTGGTGACTTGAAAACCCAAGGTCACCCATCAGGCTTCATGTGGAGGAATGGGGAACCCACTTCTACAGATTAGAGTCCCACACTCTTACCATTACAAAATGCTGGCAAAGTTGATTGCAGGTCCGGTACATGTAGTGTCAGAAATGCGTGCTTCTCCTTTTGTTATAGTTAGTTTCAGACTGACCCTGCCTATAGATGCTGATAGGGTCCTTGGAAGTGTGCGGACCACTATGTGTGCTCTGGACCCATGCCCATCTTGTGGGAAACTTCAGCATCCCTTTAAAACAAAATATTAATTTCCCAACACAGAAACTTGGAAATAAAATACTATTAAGGTCAGGCCTTGGGATAATGTGAAGACTCCCCTAGCTCAGTACATTAACTGCAACATGTCATATGAAGACATCCGCTGCAGAATATTTAGGCCCCATATTGAAAATCCTGCCATTTTTACAGTGCAGTCCTAAACAGAGTTACATCCTTTAAGCCCATTGACTTCAATAGATTTAGAAAGGTGCAATTCTGCTTGGGATTGCACCATTCGCTGACATATTATCAACACCTGAAAATAGATACTTAGACATGAACATTAATGCATATGAATAAATAACATCCTTGCATGCCTACAAAAGTACAGCTAATGCACAGTAAAATCAAATAAGAAACCAATCTAAGATCAAGTCACACTTACTTTTCAACAGCAGCCTCTTTCTCTCTCAGGGAATTTGTATACCTCTGTTCAGCCTGATGTAGTTCTATTTCCAAAGTTTCCCCGTTTATCTGTAGTTCTCGGATTTGATTCTCCCATTTATGCATTTGTTCAACATGGGCCTCTTTCATGGAACTGAGTTTTGTATCCTTTTCCCTGGCCAAACGATCAATTGCTGCATGTCTTTTCAAAAAAATTAGACAAACAGGCACATCATTAAAAATTAAATTAAATTAAATTTTAATTTCATGCAGCTGGAAGCCCTTAAAAGCAAGCTGGCTGAACTGGAGATCTTCTTTCCTTAACACTGTTAAACCACTACTGGGGAGGGCGGGATACAAATCAAACAAATAATAAATAAATAAATAAATCATGGGTGGGGATGCATCTTCCTCCAACAGCAATTTGTACTTATTTCAAGTGCTTAAATGGATTACCAAATTGAGGATTTCAATAGAATCTATAAGTTTTTTTAATCCCTCCTATTTAATATCAAAAATTATTTCAGAATTATCTAAATCTTTTAAAAAAAACACGACTAAGATATGTTATTTTCCTATTCCTCCTCTCTACAAAATAGTGTAGTAGGGGTGTGCAATTTTGTTTTATTTGGTATTTTTTGGTTCGGGTCTATTCGACCTGAAAAAATTTCAGTATCTCTGAAAAATCCCGAATCCCATTACTGGTATGGTATTCGGATATGGGATTTTTTGGAAATCCTGATTTTTTTCAGACCCGAGAAGAAAAATCCCAGAAGAAAAAAAAGCCACCTTGATCCTGGGGCTGGCTTGGCTTCTCCTGCAGTGTGGTTTAAACTGTGCTGCAGGAGAAGATGGCCCCAGGATCTGTGTGTGGGGGGGAGGCTTCCGGGGCTGAGAGTTTCTCCTGCAGATCCTGGCTAGGCTCACTTTTTTAAACCGGACTGCAGGAGAAGCCTGCCCCAGGAGCTGCTCCATGTGGCACAGCCGATCCTGGCTGGGCTTGCTTCTCCTGCAGTCCTATTTAAACTGGGCTGCTGGAGAAGTGAATCCCAGGAGCTCCTGTCCTGGCTGGGCTCGCTTCTCCTGCCCTCCATCCTCCACTGATGAAAAGAAGGCATTTAAAGGAATCACAGTCCCTTTAAATGCCTTCTCTAAGCTGAGAGTTCACTCCGAAGGCATTTAATACAATTGAGAGCCCTTTAAATGCACTTTAACTATGGGTATCTGGTAGTCCCGAAAAATCCAGAATATTTTCAGGATTTGGGGGCTTGGCTATTTATGATAGCTGAATAAATACCAGCTATCTATATCCAGCTGAAAAAAATATCTGGAAAATACTGGTAATGTATTTTTCTTAGTTTTTTAAGGCTTGGGTAGACTGAATGCACACCTCTACTGTGTAGACAGAAAGATGTCAGCAATGTGCATTTTACAAGCTTATGACATTTGACTGTTTTGGTAATTTGTCAGAAAATGGGAAACATAACTGCAGTGCCCAGTACATTTTTCTAGGGTATACCCCCAGGTTGGATTGGCCTGATCTGGACTATGTATATGGGGAAAGGGTGCTTAAAACATATTCCCAACCCTAAATGGTCTTGGTGGAGCCATTTTTCCCGTTAGGAAACCTTATGTTAACATTCCCCAGGAGACATTTCAGGTTGGGAAAAAAGCACAAGGGGGAGAATGCTTAAGCACCCTCTCCCCATATACCATATTTATGGTACAAACTGACCCCCCCCCTCCGTGCCTGGGAGACATGAACAGGGAGACATGAACACTGATGGGGTCCGAACTGGTGGTAACTGACTAGGAGAGAGATCTTGGAGCTGTCATAGATAACTCACTGATGATGTTGACTCAGCGTGGGACTTCAATAAAGGCAAATGCTAGGCTGGGGATTATTAGGAAGGGGATTGAAAACAAATCATAATGCCCTTGTATAAATCTATGGTGCAGCCTCATTTGGAATACTGTGTACAGTTCTGGTCACCACACCTCAAAAAAGATATTCTAGCACTGGAAAAGGTGCAGGAAAGGGCAACTAAATTGATTAAGGGAATGGAACACCTTCTCTATGAAGAAAGGTTAAAGAGGTTAGGACTCTTTAGCTTGGACAAACGACGACTGACCTAGCAGAACATTACTCAAATATGACTCTCATATCACAAACAGCATTTGAAATAATTCCTCTGTAAGACTTTCTTTTTGCCCAAACTGAAGTGCAAATACACATTACCCATGCAGAGCTAGTCTTATGGTTACTGGCTCATTGTCAATGTGTTTACAAGTGGACTGGGGGGAAAGGAACATGAATTAGAGGTAGCTGCTTGCTGATTTGGTAACAGTACAAAGTAATGCTTGCAAAAAAAAGAAGAAGCTAAAGCCCCAGCGCCCAGACCTAAAAAGAAAACAATATGATTGTAATACAAAGTGTCCAATGGCAATAAAATGCAAACACAGATCTATTCATATTCATTTACAGACACATAAAGTTTTATATGAAAAAAGAATTAAACCACATGTACTGAACATGTGTATTCCCACACACTAAGACATCATCATAATCTGAAGGCAGAAATCTTTCAGCTACATCAAAACTCCTATATGGTTATGTGTAGAAAATGCCTGCAAGTTACAGCTTTTTATGACATTGTCAAGAAATACAGTACACGTAAAATATAATGTCATCTCTTTAAAGTACTCACTTTCTTTCAGATAGTTCTCTCTCTTTTTTCCAGCTCAACTGCACTGAATCAAGTCTCCTTTCTAAATCTTGTATCCTGAATAGGTAGGTATTGGAGGAAAATATACCGTATTATATGCAAACAGACAATGCTTAGAATGAGGATAAAGTCTAAAGAAAAATAATATTCAAGGAATAATTTTAAAAGATAGGATGAGATCAGAAAGCAATTTAAATTTGCCCTACTAGAGAAAAAAATGTCCCCAGAAATAAGTATGCTAAAGGATCATATGAACAGGTGTCTCCAATGTGGTGCCCATACCTTTCCTGGTGCCCAAGTGTTTTTAGAAAGTGGGTGGGGCCAGGTGGGCCTCTTGGCCATCAGCACTTCTAATTGGCTATGCAGATATTTTAAAAGTTACTTCAAGTTGCAGCTGCCACCACAGCACATTTTTAAAAGTTTTAAAAGATATTGTAAAAGTTGCAGCTGCCACCACGGCACAAGGATCTTTACTGTGTGACTGAAGGTAAGCAGTGTGTATGAAAGACAATATTTTTAAATAATATGTTAATTTTCAAAGGCATCCTGTTAAACAGAGTTTCTGCTTGAAATGTTGAAGAGTTATTATTAGAGTTATGCATGACCTCACTTCCTCATGTTTTGTGGTTGGCCCTGCACCTGCAGCCACCATTTTGTGGTTGACAGACTCCGCCTCCTACAGAAGCCATTTTGTGGTTGCACCCACCACACCATGTCAGAATTCCAAAGGTGCCTGTAGGCTCATAATGATTGGGGACCCATTACAGAATCTTGTTGTAATGAATGGTGGCTTAAGGTATATATTTACATCAACACTCTTACTGCATTTCATTCTGCGTATTCTTCATTCCCACTCCATGGATACAGATTTGAGAGAAGCTGTCATGTGGACAAGCCTCAAACCCCCAAAATTATAATATTTTTGTGGGTCAGGTTCAGGAGTACAATTAAAATTTGCAACTGCAAATGCTGGTATCTATCAATGGATTACCTTGTAGCAATCATAACTCATTATTATTAGAAACACAGTTCCAAAAGACTATTTTCTTGTAATTATCACCACTATTTCTACAGCAACATTTTTCACATCAATTTCACTGCCAAAATTTTTATATCCAGCCAAATCTTTTGTTAAGAATCTTCAGATGCCATGCTGTATCTTCTGCCATGCAGGCAGAGAGACACTGAGATTGCTAATCAAAGACATCTTTTGTCATACTTCTGCGGTAGCCATATCACCTACTTGCCAATTACACTGGTTAGGGAAAGTTTTAAAAGTTAGAACAATTTTATTATATCGGTTTTACTGACTCAGTTGTATGTTCTTTTTGTTAATAAATTCAGTTTATTGTTTAAGTAAACTTGAGCATTCTGAGCTGGGAGCTTTCTACTAAGCTTCTCTTACCCTATGCTAATTTTAGTTATTTTGGCCAAGTTACTGAGAAAGTACATCAAAATCTTGTAATGCAGCTGGGTGATCAGAGATTAGAAACTGGAAGAGTTGCAGATCATAGGTGTGTCAAGCTACAACAGACCTACTGCATTTTAAACCAGTAGGTGGTGGCAGTTCCTGATTTTTGTGTGATTTAGCATAGGTTTGTAAAGCGAGAGCAATGAAGCATCAACCAAACATGATTCCACTAAATCTGATTATATTGACAATTCTTAAAATGTGTGATCCATACATTTTTAAAAGTCTAAAAAGTGGAGCTGATTTTTTTAAAATTATTTTCTTTAAGAAACAACACTGCAACTCTTGAATTACCACCTAATCCAATTTACTAAGTAAACTTGTGAGTAGTGTTGCCAGGTTCCTCTGGGAAGCTGGCAGGGGATGGGGGGGGGGCTTCCTGGGAGCAGGGAGTTTCATTGCATGTTTCAGCAACATGCCCACGTGACTTCAATGTGACACAGAAGTGACATAGGCATATTGGGGAGACACTCTGGTTTTGGGGCAAATACTCTATGCCAGAATTAGCTTCTACCATAGAATTTTTGCCCAAAAACCAGAGCATTGCCCCAAAGGCCCTGACGGGCCTACATCACTTCCGGGTCATGTTGAAGTCACATAAGGATTGTGAGGAATGTTACATAACACATCTCTGAAAAGATGTACACTATTCCAGTAAAAGATAACACAACTCAGAAATGTATTGCTGCACTGAGTTAACCCATCCTCAGTCTTCTGGTTATGACGTATGCACTATATGCCATCTGTCTTGTTGCCTGTCTTGCCTTGCCCTGCCCTTGCTGCCTTTCTTCATTTATTTTGGCAAAGAAGGCACTCTTATTTGCAGATGATCCTTTTTTTTACTCGGTTCATGAGTAACTGCTTTTGCGGGGGGGGGGGGGGCACTGTTCCTTGCACAGTTTTGTAGATCTGCAGCATCAGTGTGTGCAATTGCCCTTTGATTTAATAGAAATGTACTATCATGCATGTCTCTGCAAAAAAACAGGTTGCTTACCTGTAACTGATTATCTTTGAATGGTCATCTGTGCAGTACCATATATGGGTTGCACGCCTGCGCAGGCACCCAACCCATGTGTGGGACTGCACAGAGACCACAAAAGAAGATCTGAGTATTCAAGAAAAGTTGTAATAGACTAAAGAAAACCATACTAGCAGCCACATTGGGAGTAATGTTTTGATACTGGATAACAACCCCCCCCCCTTATTATGTAAACAAAAGGCTCATATCTAATTTGAGAGCGATTAAAAGAGCATAACAACAAAGCACATAGGCAATAGAGACACTGGAAAACAGCACTGTGCAACTTTGAGGTACATTAAGGTGCACTGTAAAAATTGTGACGTGAGCCACGGTTATGCCAGATGTGACTCTAAAGGAAAACAACACACACATTTTGCTTTTGCAGACATGAAAAGGCTCAAATTAGCGGAAAGAAAAAAGAGGTGAGCTAAAAAGAAGCTTCTCTTAAATCTCAAAGGAAAAATACACTACTGAGCATCTTTTACAGCTGCAAGATCCTTTAATTCCCACTCCTTGCATCTGACTTCTTTTTCCAGCTCCAAATTGGCTGCCTCTGCCACTTTCATTGATTCTGCTGCTTTCATCCCAGCATCTTTCAAAGCTTCCAATTCCTTGGTCAACAACTTAACCTTTCAAAGACAAATAACGACAAAAGCACACATTTTATTTATTCCTTCCCCATCCCAAGCATGATTAGAGAAGAGACTAATGAAGTAAATTACTACGCAAATTTAGTTTCTGAAACCAACCAAACAACACAAATGTATTTTCCTAAAGACATTTAAAATACAGTTAAAATTAAATGTTGGAATTGTATCTGAGTTGGGAACAGAGTTTGTGTGCCACTAGGGAATGATCGTTTGAAGTGAGTTTGCACCCTATGCCTTCTGCTAACAATAGCTTGGTTTGATGCCTGAACTGGCAAACCATAGTTGTGGTTGTGGCTTGGTTTCTAAAAGCTACTGCACCTGCAGACTGCAGTGCTGAGAAAACAGAAAATGAAAAAAAGACAAGCAATTTTAGACCAAATAAAAGAGCTCATGTGGTATACTGGTTTGAGTATGGGAGTATAATCTGAGAGACCAGAGATCAAATCTGCACTCTGCCATGATGCTCTTTGGTGACCTTGGGCTAATCACTTTCTGTCAGCATAATCTAACTCACAGGATTGTTGTGAGGATAAAAATGAAAGACAGACAACCAGACTGACCATGCCTGGGTTCTAAGCTACAGTTTGATATGATGTCTGAATTGCCCCAATGAACTGATTTTTACTGACTCACAGCATGAAGTTATAAACTGAATGAATGCACCCATCGTAAGCATCTGTACTTCTGTCAGAAATCTTTAACAATCCTTGACAGGACAGTCTGAAGGCTTATGAAGATCTCTCTCAGGAAACCACCTTTAAACTTTGCCCAGCACACCATCTGGGCATTTGCCTTCTCCTTACCTCTTTGTATGTGATACTTTAAGGAACCAGTCAATACAAATGTTTGTGCTATAAATGGTGGTAAGGGGTCAGAACAGAAAACAGAGCAAGGGAGTATACACTTTGAATTTTAGGGGTGGAGGACTTCCGGTTTATGGTGACACGCTGGCGGACGCACCTCCCAGACCTCCTGGGGGTGCAATCTGCGCGCTAGCAGTTAGGGGGGGCGATTGTTCGCCACCCACCCCCCCAGAGCCTTTGCAAAAGGTTCCTAGCCATGGGGCTTTTGGAGGGTGGCCTCTTCACCAGCGCATTGCTGGGGAATTGAGGCGCTCTCCCACCCTGACGGTCCTGCCGCTATGCATCCGAATGGAACTAGAGCTGCTGACCAGGACAAGCGTCGGAGATCGAGCATTTTAAACGGACTTTAAGCAAAGTCTTATGACCAACAACGAACAGTGAGTCGAGTAAAAGCGAAATTCCAGCAATTTAAAAAGAAAGCCCTCCCCTGGGAACAGTGAGAAAAGCGAGCACGGGAGGGGCCCCTCCCACATGCATAAACTAAAAAGCGATCTAACAAGGGGGGGGGGTAGCGGAAGTTTATGCGTTGAAATCTGTTTTAAGAAACTTACCAGAGCACGGATAAGTGTATGGGCGAATTTCAGAGACTTTAGCAAGTTTATACAAAAGTAAACAATCCATAAAAATGGCGTGGAAAAAAACGGAGAAAAACAAGAAAAAGTAAAACTACCGGGGAGCATGAGCCCACAGCCGAAAGAGACCACTGAGTTCTCTAAGCTTTTGGAGGGCTCTTTTCGCCCTCTACTGGATCAGATGACTAACATCTATCAACAGCTGACAACTTTAAACCAGAACTTTGCAGCTCAGCAGCTCCAACTGTCTGAAACTACAAAAAAGACAGAGCAAACAGCTGAGAAAGTAAAGGAAATGGATGCCAACTCTAAAAAAGTTAAGAAAAAGGTGCAAATGCTGGAAAAGAAGCAAGCTTTGGATGAATTTCAACTTTTACAATTGCAAATGGAGAACTCTGCTTCAGAAAAGGGGGCGGCTGTCCCTAAACTAGAATACCAATTGAGGATTAGAAAAGATATAGCAAAGTGAAGGCTGAAGAACTCTGAATGGTGCCTTAAAGCATTTATTGTAAATGATGCTCTTGGGGTTGTCTTTAAACAGTTAAAAAATGGTTAAAAAGATAAATAATTTAGCTTAATCGACTATGTTCAATGTAATACTAGCATCTTAGATTAAGACTTATATAAGCTGTTGTAATGATCTCCTATACTTGGGGTTTTAGTTAGTAGTGGTTTTCTTTCCTTTCTCCCTAGATGTAGACGACCCTTTCCCTTTTTTTCATTGTAGTTTGTAGTTTTTAGAAAATGCAATAAAAAATCCTCTCCGGGGGGCATAAAAAAAAAAAGAATCTTAGGTGTGGAGTTGGGAGGTAAAATTGGATATTTTGTATATGCTCAAAGACTTCTTAAACAAAGAATAGAATTAAAAAAGACATAAAAGATAAAGAAAAAAAAGCAAAATTGAGCATATTGCGATTTTCATCTACAACTGATACAACTTAGTTTATTCACCCTCTCTATAGCTACATAAAAGACCTCTATCTATAATCTATTTTTCCTCCTCTTAATCTTCAAAACTGTAAATAATCACTTCGTGTTTTTCTGTTTCATGCAAAAAGTCTACAAGGGTTTCCAGTTAGCAATAAATGTTCATTTTGCTCATTTGTTTCTAATGATTGGCAGAGGGAAGTTGTGTGAAGGAAAGTAGTGCCATCTCTGAAATCCATAATTTGCAGCAGTCACCTTTACACTACTTAATGGGAAGACTAGTTAGGACTATGGATGGACATGAACTGGGAAAATGTGGTTTGGTTTGTGGTTGAACTCTGACCTGAACCCCAAACCAGGAGGCTTGTTTATGAACCAAACTGGTTCATCCCCCAGCAAACCTTGTTGAAAGGGACCACAGTCCCTTTAAATGGGATTTGCAGAAAGCCTGGAAAACAGCTGAGCGGCAGGGAACAGTTTGCTTCCCACTGCTCAGCTGTTTTGGGCAGTCTTTAAACTTTTTTTTTTTTTAACTTTAAACTTTAAAACTTTGGGCAGACTTTAAACTTTAAAAGGACTGCAAAACAATGTGAAAAACAGCTGTGTGGCAAGGAGGCCCTACCCGCCATGCAACTGTTTTGGGTTGTTTTCCCTTCCACCTTTCTCCTGGCCATCAGGAGAAAAGGGGGGATCTCCCAGGAAGGGAGAGAGGGGGACCTGGCCAGAGAAAGCGGGATCTCCTGGGAAGGAACTTCCCTTTCACTTTTCTGCTGGCTGCGACGGACTGCAACCAGACGAAAGGTGGGGGCAAAGTGCCCCTGGAAAGGCACTTCACCCCTTCCATTTTAACTTCCTTTCTGCTCCTCACGGTTTCTGCTCCCCATGAAAAGCCACGGGAAAGTAAAGGCACGGTTTAAACAGCTCGGAGCCATTTAAACCTTTCTGCTCCTGGGGAGCAGAAAGCAGGGCCATTTAATCCCCAGTCTTCTGCTCCCAGCAGATAGCCGTAGGGAGCAGAAACTAGTGGTGGTTTAAATGGCTCGGAGCCATTTAAACTCTGCTTTCTGCTCCCATGAAAAGCCGCGGGGAGCTGAAAGCAGGGTTAAAATGGCTGACTGTTTCTCATAAAGAGCAGAAAGCAGGGGTATACAGTCTTCATGCACCATCACAAACCACCATGAATGTCCTGGTTCTTCAGTTCACAAACTCCAGGCCAAAATTCATGACAAACTTTGGTTCGTCAGCCAGTTCATGTCCACCCCTAGTTAGGACTTATGGAAACAGAGAAGAACATGATTCTTTGCATATCAGAGAACAAACAAACCAGGAGTAATCATGAGTGTATTGGTATTTTTTGGCCTTGCTATATTCCTAAAGAAGAGAAAAAATACGGGGGGGGGGACTTAACCCCCCCAAATTTGAATCAAGAACCAGAAAGGTTAGTTACAAATTATAGGGCCAGTTACTAAAAACAATATGTATGAGCTGAATATTATCAAAAATACACTATTATCAAATAGTTAAAAATATTTATAGGCCCAATTGTAGCCTTATTACAGAATAAAAGTATACAATGTACACAAGTAGGAACTATTGTGACCTGATGCGGTTTGGCTCAAACAGGCCTTCTTCAGTGGTCAACTGACTGCCTTGAGTCAATTGATTGATATTATAAGTAAAAAAAATTCAATATGAGTATATAGTTAAAAATTTGTCATTGGATGTAATTTGGCAATTTAGAAATATTTTTTTCTTTTTTCTGGTTGAATTCCACAGTTCTATTTCAAGAAATATTTCATACACATGCTGAGAAAAAGGATCTTACTTGTTAAATGTCTTCTTGTATTTGTTGTAGAAAGTGATTTATTGTAGAAGTAAGCTTAGTTTCGATTCTCTCAAAGTCCGGCAGACACAGCTTAAGAGCCAATATGGCGATTGCTTGGCTGAGGCTTTGGGACGGACAAAAGACTCCAGAACCAAGCCGCCGTTAGTATCTGGTACTTCGTCGAGTCCCCTGCTTCAGAGACCTCTCTCCTGTGGCCCCCCTAGGAATTTGGATAAACCAAATTCCCCCAAACCATGCAATTCGAGTGGCTGCAGGAGCAGAGCTCCGCAACTCCACTCAATCTTGCTGCGCTAAAACTGGAAGTCCTTTTCCCACTCTCAATAGAACTCCTTTTTTAGTCCCACATTAACTTGGCAATTGTCTTACTATTGTATGATGAGCCTATATTTGCTAATATTGCTTAATCACTGAAGAAGGCCTGATTGAGCCAAAATGCATCAGGTCACAATAGTTCCCACTTGTGTACATTGTATACTTTTATTCTGTAATGAAGCTACAATTGGGCCCATAAATGCTTTTAACTATTTGATAATAAATACATGTATTTTTGATAATATTCAGGTTATACATATTGTTTTTAGTAATTGCTCCTATAATTTGTTTGTAACTAACCTGTCTGGTTCTTGATTGCTATAGTCCTATCACATTTTGAAACTGCACTCACCTTAAGCTCATGAGACAGAACTAAATTGCTCATTTCATCTGCTTTCTGATGAAATTCATGTTCTCTTTTTTTCATTTCTGCATCAAATTCCACTAGAAGTTCCTGAAATCGAAAACATGGAATTGTATATAATTGTTCAAGCATATATTCAAAACACCGTTTAAAGGTGGGTTTAAGACCCACAGAGTAGAAGCAAAGGATTACTGAAAACATGATTAGTATCACGGTATCTTTTTGCCATAGCAAAAATATTTTACAGCCATGAGAGACACAGCCATTTGTATAGGGCCAGAGCAGGAAGAAACTTCCATTTGTATTAATGAATAAATTTTAGTGCCATCCTAAGAGGGTCAGAATCCTACTCAGGTCCATTAAACGGGACTTATTCCCAGGAAAGTGTTCTTAGGATTCCACTACGGTAGTTGATTAAACAATGGTGAATAATTTTGTTGAGGCCATTAGTTGAGGAAGTGGTTACTTTTGAGGCTATTTTAGTTTTAATTTCAAAAGGGTAGCCATTTTAAGTACATTGTAGCAAAACTAAACAGAAATCAAGTGGCATTTTTAAGACTAACCAAGTTCATTCCACCATAAGATTTTATGACTCAGAGTGCAGCTCAGCTCTGACTAACAAAAGCTTATGCTAAAATTGACTTAGTCTAAAAAGTGCCACTTGATCTCTGTTTTAGTATTGATATGTTACAGTAAGAGGAAAATAAAAATAAAATTTTAAAGAGATGGTCTTTAGTTTGAGAGGTAGATTTTGTTTATTAAATTATTTTATAGTTCCTTCAATATCTCAAAAGGCACCTATATTGTTAACAGGCAGATGATTAATCAACTAAACATTGTTTATTAAGTTGACAGTTTTTAAAATAGCCACGTGCAAAGCTGGAAAGAAAAGAACCTTGAAATCAGAGAAGCAGCAATTGCTGGCAAAGACCTGTGTGTTTATTTAGCCGTTATGACTGTCTAAAGCCACTCCTGATTTATAGCACTGACCTTCCTGAAATTTCAAGGTTGGCAAATTTAGCACAGCATTATGGCTAAACCCTGTGAAAAGAATCTTACACCATCTCATTTTACTAGCCACAATCCTACCAATTTTTCCCAGGGGAGAATGTCAGAGTGGGAAGAAAACAAAGTAATCCCCCTCTTTCCTAGAATCATGGCACCATTTTTTACCTTTAGAGTCAGAAATAAAAAAATAAAATGAAGGGATTTCAGGGGGAAATATAAAGTTCAGCTACCAAACGTGGCTGTTTTCTCTACAAGAAAAGATGTCAGTCTATCCTGCTTAACTGGTTTATCAATTATTCCATACCTGTCGTTGCAAAGCAAGTTCACCTTCTACTTCCTGAAGTTTTCTCTCTAGTTGTTGTTTCATATTCTCATATTCCTTGCGATGGTGACTGATATCAGAGCCTTTAGAGCTATGAAACCAAGCAATTAAAAATACACTAAGTAAAAATATTTAAATAACTACTTTTCATCAAATAAAAATCCAGTAAAATCCCATTCACTTTAGTTACAGGTTTAAAATTAATTCATCTGCAATAAAATGCCCTATTTCAAAGAACAAAGTTTTTACAATAACCATGTTTGGTAGGTATTTTCAGTTCCTGCAAACAAGACTTTGGGGGATAAATTGCTATATGTATTATGTGCTTGAATAATGCTTTATTTTTGTTTATTCTCTCCTGAATTGAGTCATCTCACCCTAACTGCAGTTAGGATCTCATTGTACAATTCATTTATCTAAAACAACAATACAGCATAAGTAGCAATCTGAGTCATTTGTCTATACTGTAAGTAATTATGTGTATAAACATGTATCAAATAGATTTAGGTGGGGTAGCCATGTTGGTCTGAAACAGCAGAACAAAGTTTGAGTTAGGGTTGCCAAGTCGAAAATCTTTGGGAGCGGGGGACTCCCGTCCGGCGTTCTATGCACGCGCATGCACGTCACCAGGAAGTGACGTTATGACACCGGGCATGCTGGGGGCGGGCCCACGACCATCCGAGGGGGAAACATAGAGTTTCCCCCTCAGATGGTCGTGGCCCCACCCCCAGCGTGCCCGGCATCATAACGTCACTTCCTGGTGACACGCACGCCGGGGTGGGGTTCCCCCCGGGGCCCGATCTACCGGCAGCGGGGAACGGGCCTCTGGGGCAGGGGTTTCCCCGCCCCCCGGGGGGACTTGGCAGCCCTAGTTTGAGTCCAGTGGCACCTTTAAGACCAGCAAAGTTTTATTCACAGTATAAGCTTTCGTGTCCAAGTATATACCATGAATAGAACTTCGTTGGTTTTAAAGGTACAACTGGACTCAAACTTTGTTATGTATCAAATAAGCAGAATACATCAGGCTGTCTCTTTGAACCAACATTGACTCCTGCATAGCACAGAGGAGAGGTTGCAGTGTATTTCACATCTTATTTTATTTTTATTTACTTCTTCTATACCCTATGTTCTTCAGTGGGGCCCCAGACCAGCTTGTAAAACAAAGTAGCACAAAGTACCTCAGCCATGCAGACCACAATGGCCTGAATCCTACTCAGATCCTCTAGCTCAGATCCATAGTACATGGCAGATCCTGTAAAGTGCTTAATGTGTTATCAGTTGGCAAGTATACACGCATGTTCAGAGAAAACAAACTTGTAAACTGTAAGGCCAAAATGCTATGAAATGCAAAGGGTAACAGTCACTGTTAAATCTCTTATGTACAGACAAGATAAAAACTGAATTATACATTCACAACAGCCAACCTTTTGATTTCCTTAGCAATTAATGGCCTTTGATTTTTTTTCCTAATCAGATTTCTAAATTTCAGCTTGGGCTTGGAAATTTGAATCTTTATTATATATACCCAAATCAGATCTATCTTACCTCAGAAGTCGCTCCAAATCTAACTGGTGTTCTTTAAGCTTTTGTTGATATTGGTATTGCAAAGTTTCTTGCTTTTTGGTCTCCTGAGTAAGTGCCTGTTGTAGCTTATCCATCTGAATTCTAAGGTCACTAACTTCTGCCTCCTTAGCATTTTCAACTATTTTCAACTGAGTGAACAAGGTATCATAGTGTTCCAGTTCTCTATCTCTCTCTTCTAAGATTTTAAGGTTATAAGTGAAATCTTCCTTTAATCTGTTGAATTTCCTATGTATTTCTTGAAGTTGTCTTTCGGTTTCTTGCAGTGTTGTTTTCAGAAAATGTATCTGATTAATTTGTAGTTCTTTCAGTTCTTGTTCTTTACAGAGGAGAAGTTCATTTAAATCTTTTTGTGCGTGTAGCATTGTTGAACCTGAGAAGGACAAAAAGTATTAATTACAAAGAGAAGACTATTATCTCCATCTACCATTTTAATCAATACAATGCCATAATCACAAACCCTGCTCTCAGTGCCCTCACCCGCAGAAGCAAGGTGAAAGTTGACAAGAGACAGGGCTTTCTCTGTGGCAACTTCCCTCCCTCCTTGAAGTTCCCTTGGCCCCTACTTTTCTGGCTTTTAAGTGTCAGTGAAAATGTAAAGTACTGGGTTCACCGCATGGAAGACTTGGACCACGACATGCATTCAGACGCGTTTATTGTACTTCACAACAAGACTAACTAAAACAGCCCTGCAAGGCCAACTATATACACTCCCACCCGGAACCCCTATATCCCATTGGAGGGTTTGAATTTCCTGCCAAGGTTCTATTGGTGGGTTCGAGGTGGACTAGGATCCTAGGTCCCCTTTGTGTTTGGGGACCAAGCTCCTGCTTTAGCTGCGGAACCCTGGTGGCGGTCCGCGTACATAACACCCCTCCCCCCTTAGTCTCTATTTACCCTATGTTACATAGTCTTGCAGATAGGCGTGGGGTCTGCGCTCTCGTAAGGAAAGCCAGGGCGCTGGCACGGGGTTGCTCATGGCTGTTTCGGGCTGACTGGTCGCGTCTGGCGCTGGGGGTAGCGGCTGCTCCTCAGGTTCTGGTGGTGTGGCCAGGGGCTCAGCCAGCGGGGGCTTGTCTGTGCGAGGGGTTTCGGGCCGAGTGCTGGCCTGAGGGGTGTAGAGTCCCGGTCCCGCAAGCTAGGGAGGTTGCTCTTCTGCCTCCGGGAGTTGTCACCGCCTAAGTTGGTCAATATGTTTTTTCAGGAGTTGGCCATCCTCCATACAGACCTCATAGGACAACCTTTCCAGCGATCCAGGGGGGCCCCCTCCCAAAGTTCCGGATGAACACGGGGTCGCCCGGGAAGAACCCCCCGGGGCACGTCCCTTTTCTCCATCAGTTTCCTTGAGTCCGATGCCCGGTTGTAGGCAGTCCAACAGAATCGTGGGGTGCCGGCCCATCAACAGTTCCGCGGGGCAACACCCAGAGACGGGGTTCGGTGCTGTCTGCTGTGTTAGTAGGAAGCGGGCGAGCTGGAATTCCCAGTCCCCATCTGTGATCCGGCTGAGGGCTTCCTTCACTGTGCGAACCATCCTTTCTGCTTGGCCGTTGGTCATGGGGTGGAAGGGCGCTGACCTTACGTGCCGCATCAGGTTCCGCTGGAGGAAGTCCTGGAACTCCGCTGACATGAAGGCAGTTCCATTGTCGGAGACTATCGTGTCCGGTAGCTCGTGGGTGGAGAAAATCCGGCGGAGTGAGCAAATGACGGCCTTCACGGAGGTGGTGGACACTGGGCTGATCTCCAACCATTTGGAGTACGAGTCTACTGTTACTAGGAATATCAGCCCATAGAAGGGCCCCGGCAAAGTCAATGTGTAACCGGGACCATGGTTTGTGCGTTGACTCCCACGGCTGTGAGGGCACGCTTGGTGGGTTTGGGCGGACTGCTTGGCAGGTCTGGCATCTTCTCACCCAGGCCTCGATCTCTGCATCAATCCCCGGGCACCAAACGTAGCTCCGAGCCATAGCCTTCATCTGGACTATTCCCGGATGCGACTCGTGGAGGACGTGGGGGACTCGTCACAGGACGTGGGGAACAATGACCCTGTCACCCCACAGAAGACACCCTTTGAGAGCCGACAGCTCATCCCTTCGGGTTGTGAACACCGTGAATTCGGGACCTGCGGAGGACATGGGCCACCCCCTCACCACCCAGCCCAAGACCCAGGAGAGGATGGGGTCACGGGCCGAGCGGGAAGTGATGTCCGCAGCCTGAATGGGTGGCTCAGGGAGGACTTCAAGCATTAGGACCTCGGGGGTGGGGGCGGGATTGGCATCCCCGAATGGGAGGGGCAGTCTGCTGAGGGCATCGGCGTGCCCCATCGCCTTGCCCGGCCTGTGATAATTGTAGCCGGCCAGGAAGAGGGACCAACGGAGAACACGGGGCGAGAGTACCTGGGGAGTCTGTTTGTCCACCGCAAATAAGCCGAGGAGAGGCTTGTGGTCCGTGACAATAGTGAAGGGGCAGCCGTACACAAAGTTATAAAACTTTTTAACCCCCGCCACTATCGCCAAGCCCTCCCAGTCTGTCTGCGTGTAATTGCGCTCGGCAGCTGTCAAAGTCCGTGAGTAATAGGCCACGGGGACCTCGCGGCCATTGGGAAGAATGTGGCCCAGAACCACGCCAATGCCGTAGGGGGAGGCATTGCACGCGAGGACAACAGGTAGGGACTCATCAAAGTGCACCAGCACCTTGTTTGAGATGAGCAGCGCCCTGACCAGTGTTCCCTCTAAGCTGAGTGTGAACTAGCTTACAGCTTTTTAGCCTCCAGCTCACACATTTTTGTCTTAGCTCAGTAAGGGTGGCTCCAGAGCAAACTAATTTATGCAGTAGCCAAATTGCTTGCTCGCAACTTTAATGCCAGTAGCTCACAAAGTAGAATTTTTGCTCACAAGACTCCACAGCTTAGAGGGAACATTGGCCCTGACCCCCTTGAACGCTGCAACTTCCCTCGGGCCCCACGACCAGGGCGCAGATTTGTCCAGGAGGCGGTGAAGGGGCTCCGCAATCGCAGCCTTGTGTGGCAGAAAGGCGTGATAAAAATTCAAGAGTCCTAAGAACGCCTGCAGTTCTGCCTTGCTGGTGGGTGCAGGGGCTTCCATGATGGCCTTGACCTTGTCCCTTGCCGGATGGAAGCCAAAAGTATCGACCCGGAAGCCCAAGAAATCCACCTCCAGGACCCCAAGGAGGCACTTCTCCTGTTCGACTTTGAGGCCCGCTGCGTCGAAATGGTGAAGGACGGCACGGAGGTGGAAGGCAAAGTTGTCCGGGGTGGTCGCGGCGATGAGGACGTCGTCGAAGAACAGCGTCACCCCAGGGATCCCTTTCAACAAAGAGTCCATTAGTTGCTGAAATATCCCCGGGGCCACACTCATGCCAAACTGTAGCTGCCTAACCTTAAAAGCCCCCCAGTGTGTTACAATGAAGCCGTGGCCTCATCCACTGGCAGCTATTGGTACACCTGCGTGAGATCCAACTTGCAAAAAATAGCGAGTGGGGCAGTGCGGAACCGCATGCAGATGGGGGCAACCTGGGGGTCAAGTTGCAATGAAACCGGGGGGCCCTTATAACAATCCAGAGCCCCATCAAAGACAGCAGGGAATTTCCCGCATACCTCAGCAAAGTCCCATGGCACACATTTATTCACACACACCCCAAGGTGATGCCCCACGGCGCAAACCACGCCTGCCCCAATAAACTAACCAAATTCCCCTCGACCACAATCAAGTCCAGGAAACCCTCAAATCACCGGTATTTCACCCGGAAGGTCCCCACACCCCGTACTGGAACCAGGTTCCTCTGGAAGTCCACCAGGCTCAAAGGCGATGGCCGCATGCGTGGCCTGCCTTCCAGGCAAAGTCTCTTCAACGTTTCCACAGAAATGATGGAAGCCACTGACCCAGAGTCCACTTCCATTGAGCAGGGGGACCCCTCGATCGATACCTGGACCTGGAATTTCGGGGCTGTGGGCAAGTTGGGGAGGCGTAGTACCTGTAGTGAGGGCCGGATGGTCAGGAGGTAGAGGTTGGCCATTTCCTCGGCGGCCTCGTAGTGCATGGAGGTCTGGCGGCGTGGTTGCAGCTGTGCTGGGTGGTTCCGGTTGCCCTTGGATTGGCAGACGCAGGCGAGATGTCCTTGTTTGCCACACATGTGGCAGTTGGCGTCACGGAACCAGCACGGTTTTCGCTCATGTGCCTCTCCGCAGCTAGTGCACGAGGGGCGCCCTGCAGGCTTCCCGGGGTGTCCGGAGGCTCTGGCAGATCCTGGTAGCTTCTGGTGGTAGCTTCTCGTCCTCGTCTGAGTTCTCAGGCGCCAAGTCGGGGAGCACAAGATGGGACGCTGCTGGTGGTTGGTCATGGTGGGAGGCCTCGTGGGCGATGGCGAGTTGGAGCACCTTGTCGAGCTTGAGGTCGGCGGTGCCAAGTATCTTTCTGCGGATTCCCCAGGTGAACTGGGTCAAAAGGTTCTCCTCTACTTTGGTGAAGGCGCACTCCATGGCGTGTTGACGCAACGCGGCCATGAAGGCTGCAGCCGTCTCGACCAGGCTTCTGGATGCGCCCCTGGAATTCCACCCACTTGGCCAGCATCATTGGCCTGGGCGTGAGATACTTAGTCAGGGCTTCTATAATCTCCTTGTACATGCACTCGAGGATTGCCTTCAGGGCTAGGAGGCTCTTTGCGAGCTGGATGGTGTTCACGTCACAAGAACTGAGGAGGAGAGCCCTTCTCTTGCCCACATCAGTCACCTCATGGAAGGCGAAGTGGCAGGTCAGCTGGTCCGTCCACGAATCCCAGAGCTCAGGATGAGTGGGGTCAAAAATTTAAAGGTTTCTCTGAGCGGAGGCCATGGCTCTAGCATGGGGCGGGGAGCAGTGTTCAGAGACAGTGGGCATGGTGCGGTGCTGCTCAGAAGCGGTGTGGAGCGCGGTGGCTTCTTTGGGAACGATGCTGCGCTGGAAGGGGAGCCTGGCCTGCTTATTGGTATCCCACCTTCGTCGCTACTGTAAAGTACTGAGTTCGCCGCATGGAAGACTTGGACTACGACATGCGTTCAGACGCGTTTATTGTGCTTCACAGCAAGACTAACTAAAACAGCCCTGCAAGGCCAACTATATACAGTCCCACCTGGCACCCCTATATCCCATTGGAGGGTTTGAATTTCCCCACCAAGGTTGTATTGGTGGGCTCGAGGTGGACTAGGATCCTAGGTCCCCTTTGTGTTTGGGGACCAAGCTCCTGCTTTAACCACAGACTCTTGGTGGCGGTCCGCATACATAACAGAAAACATCTTTCTTTACCAGGTCAGTGGCCACCAATGTGGCACAAGAGGCTTTTTAGAGGAGGAAGAGCAGGCCCAAAGGGGTACCTTTCATCCAGTCCTAAAAGCTACAAGAGTGGCCTCGCAACTCCAGTGCAGTTACAATACTGTACAGATCTGCCTTGTATAGGATGTTGCTTTCTCCATTGCTTGCAAGGTTTGAATAATCCAAGTCACAGCTCAAACCTGCTACAGACACAAGAGGGAAAATAATAATAGATGCCACCTTTATTAAATTAGGTTAGATACAGCAGCTATACTGAGTAAAAAGAGTTGTATGCAATTGTGCTTTAGCAATCAGAAAGAAGTTCCTACTAAAATTCAAAATCTATTTAAGACTATTTTCAAGGAAGATATTATCTGATTTAAAATACTATCATATTCAGTGTTAGTGTTTTACTTAGAAGCTCATACATCCAGCTCTTCAAGTTTCTGTCTTGAAACAATGAATATGTATAATATCTTGAACATGACAAGAGTACAAAAATTCATCCACATTTTAAAATGCTGTTATTTCAAATATTTATTTTGATCCAGCAACTATAGATAACAATGCAGCTATAATCTGGCTGTTTCATCTCATAACTCCCTAAATTGATTGTTCTACTAACATTTCATTTCATTCTACAGATTATCCTCCAATAATCTTGGTATCTTGGTGTCTTGTGTCATATCCAATGCCTAGCAATTTTAGGTATAAGAACAACATTAAGGTACAGAAATAACATTTCTAATTTTCACTCTGTCTTCTTATTTACAACTGACACTTCTTATTTACAACTGTCTTCTTATTTACAACTGACACCTTAACACTACAAGAAACAATTAAATATAAAATTGCCTTCCTCACCTTATTATTTTTACTTTTACTCCACCTTCCATTTAAAAGTATACTTTAAATTCTACAAAATCCATATATAGTTATTAATTTGCAAGAAGTTTTTCCTGGTAAATCTAACTTCCACTAAGAAACAAATAGTAGTATGGAGGTGAAAACCTTGCATGAAGGGGGAGGGGTCTCAGCTCCCCATCCCACAGCTGTACACAGATTCAGCAAAGCAGGAGTCAAACTGAACCCGTGGCTATTAAATCTAATTTGATTAAAGTCTTTACAATTATTAAGCCTCCCTTACAGCATCGTGTTTCTCTGTATCATCATGACAGTGTTTCTTAACTCTGTAAATCATGGGGAACAATAACAATGATCATACAAAGCATTTCTTTCCAATCCAATGAGAGCCCTTTAACTTTTTCAAATTGGTAGGTTTTCCAGATCAGATAGCTCGACATCCTGGAATGTGAAGTTAAATGGGCCTTAGAAAGCATTACTAACAACAAAGCTAGTGGAGGTGATGGTATCCCAGCTGAGCTATTCAAAGTCTTAAAAGATGATGCTGTTAAAGTGCTGCACTCAATTTGCCAGCAAATTTGGAAAACGCAACAGTGGCCACAGGATTGGAAAAGGTCAGTATACATTCCAATCCCAAAGAAGGGCAATGCCAAGGAATGTTCAAACTATCGCACAATTGCACTCATATCACACACTAGCAAGGTCATGCTCAAGATCCTACAAGCTAGGCTTCAACAGTACATGGATAGAGAACTGCCAGAAGTACAAGCTGGGTTTCGAAGAGGTAGAGGAACTAGAGATCAAAT